CTTCCAACAACGCCGTTGACGCCAGAGCCAACATCAGCGCCGACAACGGGGGTGCCAACGACGGTCCCACCAAAGACGCCACTTCCAACAACGCCGTTGACGCCAGAGCCAACATCAGCGCCGACAACGGGGGTGCCAACGACGGTCCCACCAAAGACGCCACTTCCAACAACGCTACCAATGCCAACGACGTCAGTGCCGGCGACGATTGCACCGGTGACAGTAGCTTCAACGAAGCCAGCTTTGACCACCTCTTCGCCTGTAAGTCCAGCACCGACGACAGCAGTGCCGACGACAGCTGCGCTAACGATCTTGCCACCTGCGACGACACCTCCGCCGAGCACGGCGCAGGCTACAACTGGTGGCATTGTCAGTGTTTGCAAGGACGCTGTGTATTTTGTACCAAGCAATCGAGGACCGGTATGTGGTAGCGGCTTACATTCTCCAAGTGGTACGGCATGTCCACGGAAAGGAGACGCGAGCTTTGCTTCATGCACCCCGAGCCTGAAGTCGCGTCAAAATGGCAAGTGCGTGGCCCCCGAAGATGCGATATGCGTTGTTATTCTCGGTACAACGTGGGGCTGCGTCTTCCCATCCGTCGGATGTTTGACAATCGCAGCAGCGACCCCAACGCCAAAACCGATCGATAGCGATTCGTCCGACGGCGGCTCCTCCAGTGATATTGAAACGCGCTTTTTGGTCGCCGATGCCACTGCACACGAGACAGATGATACGAAGTACTCTTGGGGCGGCATGCCGAGCATCAGCACGGTGTCGCGACAAGCGTCTCCCGACTCGGCGCGCAGTTCGCAATATCGACAAGAAGCTATAGCGCCCACTTCCTATACTGTGAGTACTCGCCCGTCGTTGACGCCGAGCCCCGTCGTGGTTGCTTCGTTCAGCCAAGGCGTACCAGAGACGCGCCCCAAAGAGTCTCCATGACCGCTCGTGTTGAAATGTGTTTTGTGCCACGCCTTCCTTGCGTAACCTCGATAACATATTCTCATTTGGCAAAGTCCCCGAGTTATCATTGGAGAGCGCCCGGCTCACGGCTTCTCCTTGGGTTTGCCGCGTGTTGCAAGGCGTTTTTTATTCTCAAAATTTGGTGTCCGCGTCGGGTTGGCCGTTGCAGATGTACTGGAATGGAGCGCTCGGGCGCTGGCAACGGGCTTCGGAGCCAATGACGTGAACTTCACATCCATGCATTGCTTTGACCGGTAGAACTGTACTAAGATTTAAATAAGCCCATCGAACGTGGATTCAAGGTTTGCATATTTGGTCTGATTTCGCTGGCTCCAGGCAGAGTTGGACCCTAGCGTTGGTCGATGGATGGCGTTTGCGTGAGCACGCACGCGCTCAGCAGTGTTGACTAGGGCAACAAATAGTACGGCGTCGGTCGATGTACGAGCTGTGTGCTTTGGCTCTTGTGTGATATGAATACGATTGCCGATCTTTTGCATGTTGTGCCGGTTCCCACAAAGATGGGCAACCTGGTGCACGATCGTCACGGAGCTGGACGTGATCGTGGTGTCGGCGACCAAACACCTTAAAATCCTCTTGGTTTTAAACACAAACAATTCTCATTTTCTTTAATTATACTTATAATGCATATTATATTCGATTTCTATCGCTAACCATAATGGGTGTACTGGCATGGCAAAAGTTGAGCTTTGGCGTCATTTTGCAAACCGCGACGATGGCGAGCAGCACGGGGGACGGCCGGCACTCGCTCACGACGCCCGTCTTTCTCCTCAAAACGTACGAAATGCTCGAACGCTGCCCGACGCACGTCGCTGGATGGACCGACGATGGCGAAGCTTTTGTCGTCCGGAGCAAGACTGAGTTCGAGACCAAAGTGCTCCCGGTCTATTTCAAACACCGCAACTTTCACTCGTTCGTGCGGCAGCTCAACATTTACGGCTTCAAGAAGGCTCGCCTCGAGAGCTCCGACATGTCGCCGAGCTGGGAATTCCAACACCCCAAGTTCCGACGTGGCGCCAAGCGCGGCCTCAACCAGATCCAACGACGCACAACGACGACGCCCGAGCCAGAAGCCCCGTTTGAAAACAGCCACGAAGTCGCAGCGCTGCGTCTCAAGCTCACGCACCTGCGAGAGCACTTGGCGAACCTCAACGCCAATATTGAGCGCGTTGCACTCTTGGTCGTGCGCAAACGAAAGCGCGAGCTACAGGTTCGGCGGCAACGCTCAGCGATACCGATACTCGATGCTAGACAGCTACCAACCGACGTCGTCATGACATCGTTTTTGGATCAAGTCGACTGGAACCTCGAGGCGTAGCGTTCTGCGTTAAGCTAGTTAGTGTCAATGTTCTGTGTTTCGTTCTATGGGATTCCCGTTTCAAATGGAATGAGCATGCGAAGGCACGCTTTTCCTTAGCAACCGCTGCATATTTAAGCCACTTCGATCGCTCGCGGCAAACAAATGCCCAGTAAATAGATAGATAGATAGATAGATAGATAGATAGATAGATAGATAGATAGATAGATAGATAGATAGATAGATAGATAGATAGATAGCGCACTTGAGAAACAGCGATTGATTCAACATTTCTTAACGCGAATTACATCGCTGTGAAAAAGAACTGGTGGTTCATTTTACTTCGCGCATCAAATGTCAATTCGGCGACGCCAGTGTGCACGCGTGCCAGCCCGTCGGTGCCAACGCATGGAAACTGTCGACGACCTTCGTGTGGTGCTGCACAAGCCCATGGATTCCGTACACGCGCACGGACGCATGTACATCACTATCGACATAGGTACGCTGCGTCCAGCGCACGTGCACGTCCAGTTGCATCTCTACGCTCGTATGAGAAGCAAGCCCATTAATAATAGGTGCCGTACTCGGTGTCGTCGTAATGCGCATCACTTGGGCTTCGTCGGGTGCGTGCTGTAGCAGCTTGCACTCGCACCACTGCGTTGCCTAGTAGCAACGCACCAGCGATCAAAACATGCAGAATCCATGTCGGTACCTCGCGAAGATACGAGGCCGTTTGCACGACGCCATAGCCGTCGGTGGCGTCAGCATGCAGCACGAGGGCATTTGATGTGGAAGCTTGTAGAACGATCCAGAGCTCGTCGGGAAACCGAACATGGGGGCACAAGAACAGTGGAAGAATTGTCATCGTTCCTGGCGACGCAGCGAGCGGAATGTACACGGGGTGAGCATCCTCGAAGTAGCCCGGGACGTTCGCTCGTGCCATGTACGGACCGAGTGGCAGCCGTCCGCTGGGCGCTAACTGAGCTACTGGCCCCGACGCATCGGAGATATCCACACAAACGTGCTCGACAAGATGGCCCGTGTCGATGCAGACGGCGTGGCACCGCACTGGCATCGGGTGTCGCTCGATAGGGAGCAGCACGAGACGCGTCTCCTTTCCGTCGGTCTCGATCTGCAGAGGCACGTACTTGGACGTGATACCTCGTGTCGGCAACTTGGAGAGGACGTGCACCGAGTATGCGCCTCGGAGCAGCGCTATGGACGCTTGCCCACGGCCGTCCGTATTTACGACGTGACGACGCGCGCCGCAGGACGCACTGGCAATGATCTCAATGGGGACATCCCGAAGACAAAGATGGGATGCCTCGACCGTCTGTGGTGCGTGGTCATTGGCATTTCGCAACGTACTTTGGTACCTGCAGCTGGAACCGTACGGGGTGTCGCTTGGGTACCAAACGAACTGGGAGTGGGCGAGGTGTGCGGAACGGGTAGAGCGTGCACTGCACGGTCAACGCTTCGTACGCGGGATGCGTCGCCCGAAAGGTGTACATGGTCTCGGGTTGCAATCGCACTGGCGGCAGTGGCCAGAGACCTTGACTGCTGCTGTGATTGGCTCGCTCTTTTAGCTGGAGTTGCTCGGCAATTACACGCCAGTCGTCGACCCAATCTTCATTCACATGCGGCCTCGTCGGCGTGGCCAGCGTATTTTGCGTGAAACTTGGGATTGCAAGCCCTACAGGCGCCTAGTAGCACGCAATACTTCGCGTCACGCGTGGTACCTTGCAAGAGCACGTCCTTTTCACTCGACGAGAGCTCGAGGCGAGGTGACGTGATATTGTACTGCCGCACGATGCGATGCGTCGGCAACTGCACCGCTTCTCGCTTCCACTGCTGGACTTTGACCAAAATGGCTTGCTGAATCGTCCAAAATCGACGCCTACGAGCAATGCTGGCTGGGACAGCCCCAAATGTCGAGAACCTACCGCATGGCGCGACGCAAGAGCATGATAGCGGCCACCAACTGCTGATCTTTCCGAAGGATTCGTACGTGGTGCTGCACAGCCCGTGCCATCGCTACTTGAATAACGCGCTCCACAAGTGCCGCTGCAAGCGCGTGCTGGGCTTGCTCTCGCCGGCGCTCCTGGACGAAATGGGCTTTTTCTAGTCATAGATCAAGTCGCTCAACGTGCCACGACCCCATCGCTTCGCACGCTGAAGGCGCACGACAATCGAGACTGGTAGCTGGGTGGCGATAGGTGGTTTGTACTGCAGCACGCTGCCGACAAGTGCTTCGTACGAGATTTGGACATTTGAAATCGGGTGCGAGGTCTCTGCGTCGAGAAACAAGAGACTCGTCGAGACGGCGGTTTTCGATGGCAGTGGCGAGGCTTTCTGCTTGATCGGACTGCTTCGGAGTGGCATGTACCTACGTCGTTGTGAGTGTTTATTTTAGTCAAGAGGACAACCATCCATGGGATTCAATGGTGTCTCGGAGCTTTTCTTGGATCTGGCGCAGCGCCGGCAGAGGCGTTTGGTCTTGCAGCGACTGCTGAAACAGAAGAATCGCGGGGTCGCTCGAGCTCTCGAGAAGAATTCGCACACCGGGCTGCGTCGCAGAGATGGGCAATGCTGGCACCCGCGCGATGGTGAGCGTCTCGTATTGCGCTTGCAAATGCTTTTCCAGTCGCCTCGCGTACTCGACGTACTTGTGCTCGGCTGTCGCGTGCTGGATGCGCAGCGTGTATGTCAGCGCCAACTTTGCTTGAATGAGCGCCCGCATCGACTGGAGCAGCGTCAGCGACGGCGAGAGCGCGTCACCAAGTGCCACGAGCTGCCACTCGAACGTCGTTTTGCACCGGCGCAGTGCACAGAGTGCCAACGCGCTAGCTATCGGCGGCGCTGTGACGCAAAAGTGCGCACAGAGGTTGCTACAAGGACCGTGGGCGCCGTCGACCGAGACCCATTTGACAACAAGCGGTTTGTGTCCCGTCGTTGCCGTCGTTTGGACTAGGAATAGCATCGCATGGACGTGTGGGTGCAACGAGACCATCTTGAGATCGATCTACGCCTCCGCTCTTGAGCTAGCAACGCGATGGGCAAAATACCGTCTCGACGGTCGACGCAATTGTCGTCGTCGACGAGAGCTGCAGCGCGTGGTCGTCTGAGCGTTGAATTGACGAGTGCAGTGTTTCGCGCAGCTGCCAGCAAACATCAAACGAGTAACAAGCGACGTGAAAGCCGGGGAGACCCGACACTTGCAACTGGAGTTGCTGGGATGGCGGAAATGCGTAGACCCCGGCGCGCGACGGCACGTGCTGGTTGGCCCGGTACAAGTTTGGCGGGTGGGCTCGGTACGCGCGTGGTAGCGTCTATAAACCCCTTGCATTCTCTGTTTTGCATTCGTTGATTTGTACCTGAAAGTGTTGCAGTGCATCGACCAGAGTTAGCACATCCGCCTCGTCCAAGAAGCACCCGACGCCGTCAAGATACTTGAGCAGTCGTTTGATGGAGCATGGTGGTTGAAGCGCTACGAGCGTCTCGGCGTGCTGCGACGACGCGAGTGTCACCATGCGACGAAGCGTTTGCTGCACGACGGTCTCGTACGGTGCTCTACGCCCATGTCAGCGCTACGCGTTCAAAAGCGAGGATACCGGAGGCTTTCGGTGTGGAGAAGCTGTTGGAGCTTCCGCTGCAGGATTGCGATCTCTGGCATTGACTGCGACTCGAGCTGCGAATGTAAACATATGTACTGTGGCGGCCCCGACCGGCCGATATGACAGAGAACCTCAAAGCTGTTGGGGCGCGGGTACGGTCGCCAACTACTCGGTCATGTGTCGATACACAGCATCAATTATGACAGTACCTCTCGGGGTTGCAGAGCACCGATGTCGGCGCAAACGTTGCCCAGAGGTTTTGAATGTCACGGATGCGATCCATGAGGGTCGATCCAGACATGCGCCGTGGCATATCGCGGTGATGGTCGTCTGCGCTTACGGCAAACTCGAGCACAAGCTCAAAGACGCTGCCACGCGTCCGGAATTGCTCGAGGAGCGTAGGAAATGGCAAGCCGTCGCGTCGACTTGCGTCGCAACCGCTATTGACCATGTACGGATTACGGATTGTCCATGTCTACATACCTCGTCGAGTTGAAGTCGGCCATATACACGACGGCGGGCGACAGGGGTCGAGGCAGCGCGTGCTGGCGCCAAGCAACACGGCCGGACGTCGTAAAAGGAAGCGACCGACGGGTCGCGCGCTGTGCCGTGTCGTACACATGGTCGGGTGTTGAGAACGAGACATCGAGAAGGCGCGTTGGATCGACCGGGGGCGACGCCGTGCTATAGTCCGCCTGGTGCAATGCTGCCACGTCATTGGCATTCATCGCGCGACCCCAGACGCGTACCTAATATATATACCGATGACGCGCACCATCAATAAAGATACACTAGTACTTGGGATACGAGACCATGAAGCCCTTCGGTTGACGGCATCGCACTGCCGATGGACAGCGTGGGCGCAGCAACCGTGTCGGCCACCGGTACACCATGTCGGCGATACACCGTGTCGACGCAAATGCCGTCAGTGTACACATTGAGCGCTTGTGGCTCAACCACGAGCACCACGTGGCACCAATGGTCGAATGGAAGCGAAAACGCCGTGCACTCATCGCCATTGACGGTAGCTCCATCAACTGCGATGCGAATCGCGAGATTGCCAATCGAGAGGGTGGCAACTAGACGACCGCTGCCAGTTTCTACACCACATTCTGTCTCAAACCAAGCCGCGACGGGATTTATACCGGAGCCGGCGGCCGCGGATGTAGCTGTACAGCCGTAAATGGACTTGTTGGTCGAGCCACAACACGACCATGAGACGAAATGACCATCGTCGTTGAGGTGCGCGGCCTGGTGGCGCTTGGACGACCTAGCAACCGCGGGCATGCAACGTTTAAGTGGGAAGATGTGCAACGTACACGAACGTATCAGGGACGGCGGCACGCAGCAGCCAAATGCTCACGCTGCAGATGTTGCTCCGTATCGAGGATGAGATTGGCGGCAACGACCAACTCACAGCCCCGTCACCATACAAAGCGAGACAACAATCGTCCGAGGATGCTGCGTCTGGCTTGATACGCTTCGCTTCGATTACCCGAGGCCTATGGAAGAGAAAGCATCACGTACTGAAGATATGGAAAGAGCAACTGTACCGCCGACTTGGTGCGGTTGCTGGGCGCGCAACTTTGGCTTTGGGCTCCTTTGTCCTCTCAGGTACTAATTGTTTCTTGTCATGGACGTCGCCCCTGGGATACAGGGCGTCTCGAATCGGGGATGTCGTTTGGGATGCCGCCTTGACGCCGCCCGAGGGACGGTGGGGCAGGGCAGATGTAGGCCGTGGACGCCGCTTTGGAGCACTTGGCCGTACTGGAACACCGCGTGATGAAGAAGGCTTTGCTGTTGCTGGTGGCTTTGTTGCCTGGTGCACGATGGGCCGTCGTGGCGGTGCAGATTTCGCTAGTTTGGTCGGAGCTTTCGGAGGTAGCTTCTTGGCAGAAAATGTCGGCGGCTGCAGGAGGTTCGGCGGGGAAGATGTGACATTGAGAGTGCTGCTTGGAGCCTTTGCAGTGCAACTTGGCGCTGGCAGTGTCAACGCACTGGATGGCTCATTGTTGCTTGGCGGCCGCTCGCACGCAACGGTTGGTGTGCACTCGACCCGAAGGCGAGCGGCGATTGGGTTGGCCGAGGTCGGTCGCACCGGCTTCTTGACAAACGCCGCAAATGCAGTTGGTGCGCCGTACGCCTTGCGCAGTCGACGTTCGTGCTCGGACGGCGCCGGGTGCTCAAGGAGCTTGGGCCGCATCGACGGACACTCGCCAAAGAAATAAACGACCGGCCACCGTTTCAAGGTCGAACCGGACGATCATGTTGCGTGGATTCGCCAAGCAAAGGGGCCTTATATTCACGATATTGAACCTGCTGCAATATAGGCGCAATCAATTGTGCTGAATATTCGGATCCAATACCATCCGATACGTGTACAATATTGACGCCATCGACTGCTGCTATTGGGAACCCAGGAGGCGAGAAATATCGTCTCCTATTGGCTATATTAAATGTTTTTTGGCCAATCCATAACGACATTGATGGAGCCCGAGTCACACTGGCGGTGTTCGACTCGGCAAATTACGTTTGAAAAAATTGAAAACGGTATCGGTCATACTTGGCACAGTGTTAGACGGCTTGGCTATACAAAATGCCAGATTCGGCCATCGTGCGAGTCGTGTGGCGAGAAATAACCCTGTCTGTCCATGTGCCGATGAAATTCGCAAAATAACGTGCTACAATTGGCTACCATTTCCCTTTTTGACCAATAGATGTTGGCGATTGCCGTTGCGGTGTATACGGCCATGGGTCAAAAATGCCACGGCCAAGTGGCACATTTGCCCCTGCACTTGCCCTCTGCCTTGATGCCCAGTAGCACCACCGGGGGCGTGATCTATAATTTAAATTGCGATCCATCGCAAAGTGTCTATTATTTTATACCCAACGGGCTGTGCTTTGGCGATGAGGTGACCGTGTTTACGAGATGCGTTTGTGCTGCCGGCAACAACTCCTTCGAACGTCGCGCCAACGAAGCAAGCGTTATTTCAACGTGTCGAAACGTCGCGCCTCTTCGGCGTGGAGGGATCCAGATCGCATTTTCATCGGCATGGGCAACGCACAGTCGGGCAAGGCGGCCAAAGTGCTGCGACTGCGCCAAGAAGAGATCGACGTGGACGTCGACCACCTCGGCTCATTTGCGTTTGGTCTTGCGCACGACTACGAGGTGCAGCACTACATGCCACCGCAGTTTCCGATCATTCCGCTCTTGACAAAAGACCGCGTCACGACGTGCCAGCGCACGTGGGATCTCATTCAGAGCGCTTCGACCGACAAGATGAAGCAGTACGGCAAGCCCGGCATCGTTCTCTTCTACGACGAGTTCTTTTACCGACTCTTTGAGCGGGACACGACAATGGCGCTCGTCTTCCCCAACACCAAGCAGCGCGGCGAGGTACTCATCAAGGCGCTCACTTTCATTCTCGGCGTCCGCGCCGACGCGCCCGCGGACGTCGAGAACGTCAAGAACTCGTGTCGGTTCCTCGGCCACCGCCACCGGACGTTCATGAAGGTGCGTCCGCACCATTTCGCAACGTACGCCTTGACTATGGTCGAGGTCGTCATGTACTGGCTCGGAGACTTGGCGTCGCACAACGTCGGGCAGGCGTGGTCCAATACGACGGGCTTCATCTTGCGCTACCTCTTGGAGCCATACCTCTTTGAGCGCACGGATCCGTACGAGCTGTACCAAAACACGACGATCGCTGCTGTGCGCGAAATCACAGAGTCCTCGGCCGCGTCGGCGTCCGTCATGGACAACAAGACAGGCCGTGCGTCGTCCATGTCAGGCAGTGGGCACGCGTAGCAACATGTGTTTCCAGCAAATATAACTTTGATGCTATACAGTCTATGTGTTGATCTAACGCAGTTGCCACGTTGCGTAGACGTCGGCGACGTGCACCCTACCAAAAGCCATTAGAAACGTTGGGTACTGATGCTACGAGTACCGCGGCACTCTTGGCGCATGGCCTTGGATGGTTGCAAGGATGTCGTCGAGTGCCAATATCTGACGCGACGCGAAGCTACTCAACACATGAATCCGCATCAGCAATGCTGCAGATAGACGACGTACGTGACACCCGATGCCTCGACATAGTCAAGAAAGGTCGTGTCCGCGCGCCACTGCGACGACGCAACGAGGCCGACTACGTCGACACCGGATGCAAAGGCGTGATTCGCAGCGCCGAGGTGTGCAATCAAAGCTTTTGGCTGGTATGTTTTCCAGCCCAGACCGACGATGTAGCGCTCCGAGCTGCCGGGGCGACTGGTCTACACAACATGTGGTTAACGCCCCAGTGCCGCTTGCAGTTTGTACGATGGGCTTGACGATGGCCAGCTGTGTAAATGTGCGGTACAAGAGGTAGAGCAGCCCGAGCGAGAAAGGCGTCGAGAGCTCGAACGTCTTGCAGACAAAGTGGCCGCCGGTGCGGAGCAGCCGCGTCATTGTGAGTACCTCGCACAGCACGAGGTGGTGCATAATGTGTTCCTACGTATCCTTGGTACAGGTGTGCAACATCGACAAGGCTCCACCTGGTGCACGTGATTTCGGGCTTCTTGAAAGCCGCCATCGGCGACAACAAGATCCAAACCTTGAGGATTCTCATGCAGCGCCTACACGCCAATGTAGCTCAATCGCTATGTAGCCGGTGTACCGTCTCCACAAAACGGTCCATGTTGGCCTCGACATAGAGGTCGCCAGTGCCATCTGCGCCGTACGAGACGTCGAGCCGTGCTTGGGTGGCGTCGTCGAGGCGCCAGTGCAGCGGGTCGTCGTCGGCGTCTGGTCGAATCGAGATGCCATAGCCACGTGCGCTCTCGGTGCAGTACACGAGGTACTCGGAAAAGCCTCCTGGCGCACCACAGAGGTCGGCAAACGATTTGGTGCTCGTGCTCGTCAAGCCGCAACGCGCATTGAGCTCGGCCATCTTGATCGCAGACCGATTGACAAATGTAAACTTGCCGAGGTGCTCGTACGGGTTGGCGCGGCCACGGCACCGGCGATACGTTGCCGGCGAAATCGCTAGGTTCTCAAGGCTGGTTTTGCGCTCGAGCAGCTTCTCCAGCGCCTGGGCGAGCCGCGGCATGAAGGACTCCGTGGTGGCCAAGGATACGTCCAGCACCATGTCGACGGCTGACGCTTCGCTCGACGCCAGATAGTCGATCGTATCTGGCACGTAACTTGGAGCGCGTACTTTGGACGCAGCGCGCTCGCGGGTTGGTGAGCGCTTGCGCTTGCCAAAGCTGGCAAAGCCCATGCACGCGGCCATTGCATCCGCTTCGTCCATCGCTGCCAAAATGCAAACCTCTCGCATTGCATCTTCGGTTTGCAAATATGTATTGTTACAGGTTTCCAGCAACCAGGTGGTCATGACGTGGCAAGCTCTATGGCGAGTAAGCTTGGTTGGGAGGATAGCAGGCGAAGCCTTTGCGTTCTCGATTCGGGCGGCTCTGCTCCTGAACACACTGATGGGAAACTGAATATTAAAAGAAAGCCCGTCGTGCTGCAATGCAGCTAAGGGCCAAACTGCACAAAGGCTTCTTCTACACTGAACGAGTAGGCTTCGCCCGCGATCCTTCTTGGAACAGGTTCAAAACTCGTTCTTGTATGCTTCTAACAGCATCCGCCGAGCTCTTCTCTTCACCTCAGCGATGTCGCAGTACTGCTGCCATAGCGCATAGAAAATGCAGTCGGCGTCCGGCCATCGCGAAAACGGCGCCTGGATCCAGCGGTTTAAATAGGTTGGTGCTGGATCGTGCCAATCATCGGCGAGATGCAGTGGAACCGACCAATCCGCTCCAAGCACGATCACAACGCACCAATCAGCGCGTTCAACGTCCTGGCCGCTATATTTAGAAGGTCGGCGATCAGCACCGGGCTGCGATTCATCCTGCGATTTCTCGGCCACGGCGACGGCAGCACCGACGCCTGCCACCGCCTGCCACCGCCTGCCACCGCCTGCCACCGCACCTCGCCCATCGCTCGCTGTCGGCGCCATGGTTCTCAACGTCTTCCGGAAGGCCGAGGTCGACCTGTCGGACGACTCGAAGGCCTTTATCAACTCGCTGCCATCGACGTTCATCAACCTCTTCCGTAAGAAGCGCAACCTCTTCCCTGTCTGGAGCTCGCACAAGTACTGCGTCATGATCAAGGCCAACTTCCTCGTCTACTACCGCGCAGCCAAGACAGCGGCGACGACGACCGACGACCGGCACTACAAGTTTTTGAACCTCAAGGCCTGCCAGATCAAGCTCGTCGACGACGACAACCTCGGCAACGTCTTCATCATCACGCCCGAGACTGGCCGTGGCAGCGTCACGTTCGCTGCCGATAGCGAGAAGGACCGCGCCAAGTTTGTCACACACGCGCACGGCGTCCAGCGTCTCGTCCCGTCGCCGACCGATTTTGCGACGCTCAAGCTCATTGGGAAAGGCCATTACGGCCGCGTGATCCTGGCACGTGGCCCCAGCGCACAGCTGTATGCGATCAAGGAGATGAAGGCCGGGCAGGTCAAGCCAAAAGTCATTCACACCGAGCGCATGGTCATGGAGTGGGTCGCTGAGCATCCGTATGTGCTTGGGCTCGACTACGCCTTCTCGAGCGGTCGATCGCTATACCTCGTCTCAAAGTTTATGCCGGGCGGCGACCTCTTCCTTCACATGCAAAACCACGGCGGGTCCTTTGCCGAGTCGGTCGTGCGCTTCTACGCCACAGAGCTTGTCCTTGCACTGGAGCATTTGCACACGATGCACATTCTGCACCGCGACATCAAACCCGAGAACGTGCTTCTCGATACGGACGGGCACATCAAGCTTGCCGACATGGGCCTCTCCAAGCGTCTCGAGACCCACCACGCACGCACCAAGACCATGTGCGGCACCGACACATACCTCCCGCCTGAGATGGTGAGCCGGTCGCCGCAAGGCCATGGGCTTCAAGTCGACATGTGGCAACTCGGTTGCCTCTTGTACGAGCTCCGGTCGGGGTACCCGCCGTTCTACTTGCCACAATCCAAGCAGAAACACACGCATCAGCGTATTTTATTCCAGTCGCCCAAGTTTACTGCCGCCATCTCGACGGAATTTCAGGACTTGCTCACAAGCCTCCTCGAGAAGGACCCGACCAAGCGCCTCGGACACATGGCCGGCATCGCCGAGCTCAAGGCGCACCCATGGTTCCACGGAGTCGACTGGGACCGTGTTTTGAAGAAGGAAACGACGCCGCCCATTGTACCCAAGCCCGCCGGCGACGACTTTGTCGGCAACTTTGACCCGCAGTTCACCGAACAGCCGCACGCGCTCGACGAGGCCAACGCCAAGGACGACGCGTTCTTCAACGCAAACAAAGACTTTGCAGGCTTTGACTACGTGCGACCAAGCTTGAAGCCGGCCGCTCTCGAGCCAGCCCTTGACGCCGGCATGGTCACGCTCAAGCTCTAACCACGCTGCTGTAACCTGCTGTACGTTAATCCCACAATCAGCATCACATTTTTTGCAAACTTATGACCGACGCCAATAATGCATGGTCAAGCCGACCACCGTTGCCGCCGTGAGAGCCGTTGCCACGGTGCAAAATGGCGCTGTATCGATCGTTGACGCGTCGTTGTCGATGACTGGCACGAGGCGGGAGGTCGACCACGAAGTGAGCCCGAGCGACATGCGAGCCAGCGACAAGTACACGACGAGGTATGTCTCGGGCGACGGGGAGAGTTCGAGAGCGCGTTTGTAGTAGCGTTCGGCGCGGTTGGTGTCGGCAGCAACGCCTTGGTCGCCGTGCTCGTATAGAAACCCAGCGTTGTACGCCCCGATGCTAAGTCCATCGGAGCTCGCTTGGACGTAGTAGGCCAGTGCTTTTCGGACATCTTTCGCCACGCCGCCCTTGCCGTAGTAGTAGCAATCGCCGAGTCGGAGCGACGCCTCGACTTCGGTGGCTTGGAGGAGATACGGCGCGTGGTCGCCGCCAACAAGACCATACAAGTAGGCGAGGTTCCCCGCTGCAACCGGGTAGCCGAGCTCATGCGCTTCGTGGTAGCGCCAGATGGCGCCTTGCACCTCGCGCCGACGGTAGAGATCAAAGCCAAGGCGGGCACTCTTTCCCCATGGCCCAGCGTCGGTCGTTGCCTGGAGGTAGGGCATCGCCGCTGCAAGACGCCGGTGGTCGTTGCCCGTCGGTCGAACACCGAGGTAAACAGTGCCAAGCTCGTGCACAGCGTCAAAGTGACCAAACGACCGCGCGGCCACCGTGAGGTACTCGAGCGCGCGCGTCGTATTCACATCGGTGCCGAGGCCTTGCAGGTAACAATACCCCGTGTTGAAGAGACTGTCGCCGTCCGACTGCAGCTGCGCCGCCGCTTCAAAGTACGCTAACCCTTGCGTCAGGTTTTGGGTGACGTTGGCCGAGCCGTAAAAGTGAATGTAACCAAGCCCGTTGAGAGCCCGCACGTTGTGGGCGACCGCCGCTTTTTCATAGTACGCGATCGCTGTGACGTTGTTTTGGTCGACGCCTTCGCCCTTGAGGAGCATGCCGCCCGCCGCCGACTAGATACACGTCAGACACAGGTCGTTGGTTCCATGATTCGATCACTGGTTACCATGGCGACGACATGACCGGCGTCGGCAGCGCGCCGAAAGTAACTAAATGCGCGGGCGTGGTCGCGGACGCAGCCGCGGGCCCCCCAGTAGTAGAGATCGCCCATCGCCGTCATTGCTTCCAGGTCGCCTTCGACGTCGGCGCGCATTTTTTGATATTGGATCCAAGCGTCGTCGTCACCTGCTTGGCCCAGCGTCACATCGACGTCGTCGGCGTGGAAGAGCGAGTTCATTTCATGCCTACACCCCACAGGTTGAGCTCAGAATCCAAAAGAGCGTCGAAACCTACAGTGGTTCGTGGCCACGACGATGGTATTGCCGATGCGCCTCGGCCCCCGCCCAGCTGTAGTAGTGTGCCGCCGTCTCGGCATCCGTTGCTTGTTGGTACTTGCGCGCCAAGATCGCCATGGCCGTGTAGTCCCCCGCCATGGCAGCCACATGATACAGCAAGAGAGCATCCTCTAGCGATTGGTGTTCGATTGCACAATGGACGATAAACGAAGTACCTGGGTGTGACGTCGAGGCAACGAGTCCCAAATACCGCGCGGCCCGCCAGTCGCCGCGCTGCAAGGCCGACGTGAAGAGCTCGACGGCGGTTTCCCTGTCTTGTGCAGCTGCGACATACTCTGCACCATCGTAGCGTTGACCGAAAAGGTACGACGAGCCAGATTCGAGAAGGGCATTCATGTCGGACGCATCGATCGAGGCTCCCACGAGCTCGGTGCCCGTCATCGCTGAGGTCGTAGAGTCAGCGATCAGCTGCCCAAGCTGCGCCGGGCGGCCACGCCCAAAGTACATCGCTTGCTCGGACGAAAAGAGCCGTCCGATGTCCATCGCAGACATGGCGTCGTCGTAGAGGCGGACGTCACTGACAAAGCCTTGGATGCCGCGGACCCAAGGGCATCCGCCGACGTACACGTTGCCGGCATTCGGAAGCAGTGTCGCGTTATTACCGCGTATGCTTGCGTCGACGCGGCCGTTGATTGTGAGGGTCACGTCAAAGCTGTCGGCGCTGTGGTTGGCCAACGCGACGCCAAGAAGCGTCCACCGGCTGAGTGGCAGCGCCGATGCGCTCGAGACGGACGCAAACATGTCGTCGCGCGAGCTCACGCTGAGCATGAGCGTCTGGTCGTGCGGATTGAGCCACATGGACGGCGTCCGGTGGTCGTCATTGCCCGAGCCCTTGTACAGCAGCGTTTGGTGCACCTCAGTGGCTCTTTTGGTCAAGTACACCCACATCAGAATCGACCAGGAGCCAGTACTAGAGGTCACAGTCGACGTGTGCGGGATCGTCGCCGAGTGGTCCCCGTCGAGCGCGAGGATGCCGGGAATGACATACGACGGTGAGCGAACTGTCGCCGCCGCGTCGAGGACGAGAGTGTGCAGAACTTTGTCTGTCGCACAATGCGCGTCGTCATCAATTGAGACGACGTAGGACGCGTGCGGGAGCAATGAGTGGTCGCCAAGCCGCAGTACAAGGCGGTAGTCGCCGGAAACGCCCACACGAAAGGTCACGGGCACACTGCTATACGTCCACGCTTCCAGCGCGTTGTACTCGGTGGGAAAGGCTTTGACGCTGGGAGAGCGCTGGATATCGCGGATATAGACGTCGTCGACTGGCGCGACGAGAATCTCGATGCGTAGCAGCCGCGGCGTGACCCAGGTCCCCGCGACGGTGGAGCCAAAGTCATTTGGGAAGTCCAAGATCGCTTCGAGATCGGCCTTGGTCGCCACCGGCGGCTCGTTCGTGTCGTCGGAAAACGCAAGTTCGAGCTCGTCGCCGACTTGTAGCGCTCCGTCGGGTCGGTTGGGGACAACGAGTGTCGTCACGTCGGGTTGGCACATGGCCGGGTCGACCTCGCAGCGAAGCCCTCGCGGACTGCGCTTTAAGTCATTATCGCTGGTTCGCACAGCATGCAGCTCGACGTCCGAGCCACGAATGAGTTCATCGGTCGCCGCGTGCACAAGCCCTATGAAGGCCGTCTCGGTGGGCTCGTACATAGCCTCAATTGTCCAGGACGCCTGGACTTGAAGGCGATCGTAGGCGCAGAGGCCGTTGAGCGCTGAGATGTTCCACTCGACCAGAGACACAACCGCAGTACTGCGGCTGTAGGCGGTGCCAACGACTATCGCGATACCGAGCGCTCGCATGCTCGCCTGTCGACGTTCGAAAAAATGGCTCGCTTCGCTGGATTGGCAACGTGTCTCAGAAAGGCCTGCACCAATCACCTTGTTTCACACAGTCTTTTACACATTTCACACACGTGTGTTTGGAAACTAAAGCCAAGCCGACGAGCTCAGGGCGATATTCAACTATGGCGTTGACAGAGCATTAACGCGAACGAAGCTCGAAGTGCTCGCGGTGCGAGGCGCGATGTCTTATTCGGAGGGCAGTCATTGCGCTAAACTCGTAGTATAAGAAGGCTCAACCGCCGAGCGTTTTGGTGAGCGACGTAAATAGCGCGGGAAAGGACGCATGGCCGAGTCTTGCGACGACCCGACCGGCGTCTGCCTCCGCAAGTGCGCCCACGTCAACTGGACGTCGATTTGCGCGCTCGGCTTTAGCAACAACTGGGCGTGCTGCGACCTCAACATCCTGAACGCGGTGCTGCCCACGACCCTCTGGACCATCTTTCTCGGGATTAGCCTCTGGTTTGGCTGGTTCACGGGCATCGTACGCGAGCTAAGAACGAGCGTCGACGACCTTCACGACATCAATACTCAAGGTACGCCGACACCACTGAGTTTTTTATTGGTTACGATGTGTTCCTAGCACTCGGTGTCGTCGTGGCGCGTCAAACACAGAGCGTCCTTGGTCGCGAGATTGGCGACCCGCGCCGGGTGCTCATGCTGCTCGCGATGGGCACAGAGCTTGTCGGTTTTAGCTACCTTCCCGTGCAGCTCCTCTTGTACGAGTATACCAATGGTACGTTCACGGCGCAGTCGTCGGCGGGTTTTCAGTGGCTAAAGTTCTGTCTCCTGACACTGCTGTTGTGGTTACTGCTCTTGCCGCGGCGCGTCACAAGGCGCATCGACGGTCTCTTGACAAAAGTGGTCGCGCCGCTGCTTTTTGATACGTGCAGCCTGTTTTACATGTATACCATCATCGACATTGGAGCGTGCTCCAACGGTATGGACACGTGGGTACTACCGGACGGCACAACGTGCGGCAGCGAAAGTCGATATGGCGTGTTTGCCGCGCTTGGCACCGCCTCTTTTGTGCTCTTTTACTGGCGTATGGATGCATACCAGCTCTGCATATGGATCCTATGGAGTGTGCGTAGACTCGCTGCAGTACAAGCTACGCCTCAACGACCAAGTGTTCGCGGTTCGATTTCGATACCAGACGTCGTTTGGGTCCCTCATGGCGTACACGCGGACAGGTAAAACCATACATCTCCACCTTTTGTCGTTGATAAAATGGTGCCACTTCAACTAGCGTGCTGCCTCGGCTTTTTCACGGTCCAGCGCCTCCTCTTGTACTTCAACAAGATCCACGTCTTCCTCGCGTTCAGCATCTTCAATATGGTGCTCTTCTCGCTTCTCTTGCGCTACAACTACGTCAACCAGCCGGTACGTGCACCTCGTAGCAACAGACATGCAAACTACGTCTAGTGCCTCGGCGTCGGGCTCTTCCCAAACAACTTGCGGTCACTTTCGTTTGCGACCTCCGTGTACACGTCGACGATCCTCTTTGGAATTTCGTGTGCACTTCAAGCGAGCGGCGCGGAGAGCATGTCGCTTGTGCAGCAATACGTTTTACAGGCCGCCGCCGTGGCCTACCTTCCATTTGCAGCGGCTACGTGGGCCTTCAACTCGCGCCGCGCCCGTTTGTACCATGTTCCCAACCTAAGCTTGAAGGCGTCACTGGTCCACTCGACACCACGTGTCCGCGCAATCGCGGCCGTGAGCATCGCGCTCGAAGATCAGTCTCGCTGGTCCACCAGCGACATTCTCGACCTCTTGACGCTTCTCGACGAAAACTTGAAGGCATCGCCGGCCTTGGAAGAAGGACTCGTGCTCGCGTACACGTGCCAGGCGCTATGGAATCTGTACTTTAAGTACGTCTCGATCGACACACCGTTCCGAGAGCCAGGCACGGACCCAACGTTGTCCCTTGGTCTCTGGGCCAACCAGCGCCTCTCCACAAGCAATTATTTTGGGCCGACCAACTTTCACAGCCGCACTAGATCGCACGGGTCCGCACTCCTCGCGCTCGTTCAGCGCAACGTCGCCATTGGTGCGCACACCATGACACAGCACATGGACGACCTCTCGTCGTCACCGCATATTGCATCGATTCTTCCCAACTGCATTCACGCACTCGTGCTTCTCAGCCGTATGTCGGCGTCTCCCACGCGCCTTATCGCTGCCAAAGTGCTGCAAGAGATGTACGTGGCGCGCATCCTTCGACTCTCGCAGCCGACGATGCTGTATGTCTGCTGCTCGATCTGCGCCAGCTCAAGTCCGAGTCAGTCGAGCGCTGCCGCTGCGACACTCCGTCAACTCTTTGTCTCGCATTTTGAGGACTCCGAGTTGATGACAGTGCATTTCACCGACTACTGGAACCTCCTCCACTTGTCCCAGTACCTCTTGCGGGCGAGTCGCGACCCGAGCGAAGTGGGCCGGGCCGAGGGTGTCGCCGGTGTCGTTCTGAGCGTCGTCCAGATGGTCGAGAGCCATGCTGCCGCTTGTAATCCAGCAAATGCGCTCTCGGAAGCGTTTGTCGCCAACATCCTCGCCACCCAAGCACAGATCACAACGTCGTACAAGCTGTTAACGCTGCTCGATGACATTTGTCTCTCGACGCACTGGGCGTTCCAAGTTTACTTGGACGAACTGCATCGCGCGACGCAAGACATGACGATGCGCAAGAGCAAGCGCCAAGGCACGCTGAGCCGGGCGCGACTCTTCTCCCAAGCGAGATCCATGACGGCCATTGCGCCCACGCTCGCACCGCCGCGCCATGCCGAGCTCTCGGTGCAAAAGGTCACGTCGTTCTTGCTCCAGTCGAAACAAGCCAACTTGATCGAGCCCGACGTTGTCGCCGCCATCAAGAAACGAAAACGAGATGAAGCCATGCTGATAGTGCAAGTCACCATGATCATGAACGAAGGCTGCCAGGATCATTTGGGCGTGCGAGAGCTGCGCCCAAACACCCTCGCCGTCCTCAAAACCGTTGTCCGTCATTTGCAAGACCAGCCCATGCTTCGGACACACATCAAGCACCGGCTCAAGCCCGCCGAAGTCGACTATTTTGGCCATCTCGAGCTGCTTCTATCGACAAAGCACAGCTCGGGACTGCGCGCTGCCATGCTATCGGCGGGAAAAATCATGCCCTCCAAAGCTGCACGCTAACCCAAGAATCGTGCTACCGTATGGTGCTTGAACTTGCCAAACGTACTATGAGTTCAATGTCTTGTTAGTCGTCGCGCAGGTGGAGAGCTTTAGACGGAGGCAGTCATTGTCATTTGTTCCGTCGTGTATCTGGCTCGACGCTGGCTCGGACTTGTACACTTTTTATATGTAGCTTCCTGTCAGTATCTCGTGTTGGTGCATGCAACCCCCTCCCTATCTTACGAGGCAGTGTTGCACGCAAGCTCGGTGGACGCTACTCTCAGTCTCCAAGTTAACACTACCTCTCGCGAGAAGGTCACCTCAAGACAGCGAGAACGTCGATACTATGCTCTTTGAGGCACTTACTCCATATCTGCAAGTTCAACGGCTGTTGTGACCGCTTGTGACACGGGCCGCTTCGTCCGCAAGGAGAACTCGGTCCACTGTGACTGTCCTGGCGTCGCGCGGTCGACGCGCGAGCTCACGTCGGTCGTGCGCTCTGGCTGGAAAAACTGCCACCGCTGTCGCCGTGCCATCTCGCCGCAAAGCCTCCGAATGTAGTCGTAGTCGAGATACGTAATGTGGTCTCGGAGGTAGTCGAGGTACACGGGGTACCGCTGCAGCACCGAGAAGACGCGGCGCGCGGTCCGGTGGCGACAAATAACCTTCAGTGGTGTCGACGCCATCCGGCCCGCTTCAAGTAAATAGCGAATGTCCGCCAAGATTGTCGAAGCAATCTGCTTGCGCTCAATAATCGCTTCATACTGCTCGGCCGAGACCGGCGCCCGGAACCGACCCAAGGGTGCGAACGAGTCTTGTCTGCTGCTCCCAAAGCGTCGTAGGAGCGAGCTGCCACGCCGTCGCTGTTGCCAGCCCGAATGCATGATGCCGAGCGACGTCAGGGGAACGACTGACGTCGCGCCGCGGGTAAGCGCCACCGACGACCGCTTTGGTTTGACCACAACACGGGAAACTTGCTGCCGGCCGACCTGCCGCATGTAAGCAGCGTAGATTGCATGTAGCCCGGCACAGTGCTTGTCAATCAATAGGTGCATCGAGTACAGGTTGCACTCGGTCTGGGCAACCATGAGATTTTCCACGTACTCGGCGCAGAGGTAGTTGGGCGGCTCAATCTTGAGCGGTGATATAGCGTCAATGAGCTCGATCAAAAAATGCAGTAGCCGCACCGAAAGGTTGTCGTTGCGCGCGTGGTGGCGTCGCACAAACTCTGACATGTGCATCAGATGCAACGTGGTCGCGAGGCGCACCACGTCGGATGGCATCGCGTGCAGCTGGTCTTGAAACAAACTTAGAATCGTGAGCACCGCCGACTTGGCGAGTGTTTCTTGCTCGCTGCCGCAGAGAATGCACATCATGGCAATCATGGTGCTTTTCGTCAGTCGGACGCACTCGCAGGTGTACATTTCATGCAGCAGCTTGGCGCAGAGCTGGCGCGCGACCGGCGAGTGGCAGCGCAAAAGATGGGCACACATGTGCACGGTCTTCTCGAAACAGCGTTGTATGAGTGGCGATGCGAGTAGCTTTTGGTTGCGCGTCGTCCAGCCAATGTCGGACGCGCGCTGGACGAGCTGGACGAGTCGGCGGCCTTGCGTTTGTGGCTTGAACGACTCGAGGCGCGCGCGAAGGTGATCGGTGCCCGTGAGAAGCCAGCCCCGCTCCGACTGCCACAGACGTGACGCGAGCGACGAGACTTGTGCGCCGTGTAGCCGCGGCAGAATGCGAGGCGCGGCCACCGTTTTCCACTTCCCAAACGGAAGGCAAAACTCGGGCTCGTCGAGCTCAAACACGCACTGGCGCATGTGAAAGTACTTGAACCAAAGGTGCCACAACGCTTGGCACGTGTATGCACCAACCATAAAGCGCTCTGCAGACGAGTCTCGCTGCAAGTTGGCCTCGAGCTGCTCGACAATCAGCTCGATTTCGTGCATATTGGCGAACGGTTCGAGGGTGACGCAGACGGCGGCAATCGCGCGGACGCGGGGCGTCGGGTGCTCGAGCGACTCGAGAAGGCTGAGGTTGGGCACTTGAAACAGCGTGGCGCGTCGGTGGTTGAACCGCCACACGTAGAGGGCAAACACCGGGTACACGACGGCGAGCGCCAAAATCACATACAAATCCGAGGGCGACGCTGTCATTTTGCCTTGGGCCTTGACAATGACGCCGAAAAGAAAGGCGGCAAAGGACGTGTAGCACGAAGTCGCAAACGAAAGTGTCCGGAGGTTGTTGGGGAAGCGCCCGACGCCGAGGCACTAGCATGCATACTAGTGTCGCTCTATAACATTGGGGTAATGTACGTACCGGTTGCATGCGATAGTTGTAGCGCAAGAGCATCGCAAAGAGACCACCGTTGAGAAGGCTCAATGCGATTGTGACGTGGGCCGGGGATGAGTAGAGCACAAGTTTTTGCATCGTGTAAAACCCGAGGCAGCATGCTAGGTGATCATGTGAATAAGAAATGATGTAACGCATTGCTATACCAGTGCGCGTAAACGTCATGAGCGAATTGAACGACGTCTGGAAGCGAAATCGGACCGCAAACACTTGGTCCGAGAGTTTCAACTTGTACTGCAGCGTCCCTAGGTATGTATGCATTATTGTCCGTCATCCAAAAAGATGTCACATGCCGTACCCCAATAGTACACGACAAAGACGAGCAGCGCCATGAGAAAGAAGACCCAATAATGCTGCGGGTGGCCGCAGCTGCCGCCGAGCCACGTCGCTTGGTCCATGCCATTGGCGCAGCCACCGACGTCGACGATCGAGTATAGGTACGTCATAAAGCACGAATCGAAGAGGAATGGAGCGAGCACTTGGTGGCGAATCGTCTCGACGCGGGGACCGAGCACTGGCGCGCCCATGTAAAAGATCAAAAACGTGGTCAAGAGCACGAATTTGCCGAGCTGTATCGAGCTTGGAAACTGGGCGGTGTAGTTGCCCCCGCTGTACAACGTGAACAGCAGCTGGTACGGAATGAAGCTAAAGCCGGGCAGCTCGGTCCACATAGCAAGGAGCATGAGGAGCCGCCGCGGATCGCTCACTTGCTTGCCCATGACGATTTGTTTTTGGCGCGCAATCACGACGCCCAAGGCTACTCTAGTCATCGCCCTCGACTCTACAGTCAAAACCACGTACCTTGGGTTTGGATGTGATGGAGTTCGTCGACTGTCGACTTGAAGTCGACAAAGATATCCGAGTACCAGCAAAAGACGGCCGTGAGACAGCCATAGAGTGGCCAGAGCGAAAGGCACGGAAGGTAGTTGAAGAAATCAAAGCCGCAGCACGGCCAGTTGGCGCTGTAGTTCATCGCACACACGGTCGGCCAGTCGACGGTCGCGGCCACCGCCGACGTGCACAGTGCGTTCCACGGCACCGTTTGATTCGTTGTCGGGTCGATGTACATGCTACTGCTTGGCACTACGAGCCCGCACTGGGGGACGGAAAGGCGGCTGCGAAACCGAGCAACCTCGCTGGAAATAGATTGTCCGATGACCAGCAACGGCGGAGCGACGTTTCAACGCTCGCATATTGTGATACAATATCCCGCATGAGTCGCAAGCAATTTAGCGGTGATGACCGACATCGACAACAACGCACGAGGAGCGAGCACCAATGCACACGTCAGTCTTCTATTAGTAGGTCACCTTGCGCCACGCCAGCGTCGCCGCCGTGAGAACGGGCACACCAATAAGCAGCGCCGATGCCGTCCGCGTCGAGAGCCACGAAGCGGTGGTCAAAGGCGCCGCCTTGTTCACTTTGGTCCACGGGGCCGGCGACCCGAGCTGCGCAGCGACGTCGAGGGCCGAGCACACGGCGCTTTCTTGCAGAGGGACTTGAAAGTGGGCGTACGGCCCGACAAACCAAATGCCGTCGCGGCCCTGCTGCGTCTTGAGCGTCTCCAACAGCGCAAACGACTGCTTGGTGAAGACGGGGCGAATGAAACCCATTTGACGCAGCACCAGCGCCGGGTTGATCTCGACAATGGCATTCCACGTCTGAAAGATGTTTTCGAGCTCCTTGATTTCCGGCGTCCAGCGCGTCGGCCAGAGCGTCATCATGGCGTCCATGCCCGTCCGCGTCTCGGTCGAAGACGACCGCGGGAGCACAAAGTTGAAGAACGACCAATCGCTGCGCGTCGACGGCATCACCACCGGGTCCTTGTGGACCACAGTCGTCGTATAGTCGTGCGGAATGGCCGAGAGCGTCTCGCGAACATCGGTGTCAATGTCCTTGAGGAACGAAAGCGCCGTGTTGGCCTGGGACGCAACGATGACGTGATCAAAGGTCGCTGTCTCCTCCACATGGCTGCCGTGCGCTTGGTACGTCACGGTCGCGGGACCGTCCGCCGTCGCCTTGTAGACGCCCGTGATCTTGGTGCTTAGGTGCACGGCCGATGCGCGGCTAGAGAGGAGACGCGCGACGTTGACCGACCCGTTGACGGTCACGCGCTGGTTCATCGACGACGACTTGCTAAAGTAATCGTGGACAATCGTGATCGGGTAGGCAAGGCACGCCTCGTACGAGCACGTGAGCATCATCGAGAGAAACGGGAGGAGGATGCCGTCGATGAATTCGGTCGAGTAGTGCTGCGCCTTGAGGTACTCGTCGACGCTCATCGAGGGTGGCGTCGATTCGGGTGACTGGCGGAAAAAGTGCAATGCATCGAGCAGCGCGCGCAGCGAGTACTGCTTGTAAATGTGCACCATGTGCCGCAGCGATGGGAGGCGGTACCCGAGCAGCGTGTACGAGCTGCTGCGGTAGAACGGGCGCTGACCGAGCTCGAGAAAGACCATATCGCACGGCAATTCACGCGTCTCGACGTCGATTTCCTTGTAGAGCGCGGCGAGGTTGACGTAAAAGCCGGTCGAGTAGGACCGGATCGGGCTGTCGAGGTGCACGTCGCCAAAGTGCATCGTGTGCGAGCACATGCCAAGACGCTCTTCCGACTCGAAGACGGTCACGTCATGGTCGGCGCCGAGGAGGTACGCGGCTGAGAGGCCCGAGATGCCACTGCCAATGACCGCAATCTTCATCGCCACGTGGGAAATTCGCAAATCGGCTATGGCGCGATTTGCGCTTCGAACTTCGCGTCACAGTGTATTTTTGCAACCAAACTCGTGTCGCCAGCATACAAATATCAAGTCGATGTGAACGGCAATCTCATGGGACAGTCGGCTTCGAAGTTTGGTTTTCGGGACTTCGGGTGCCATCACCACCAACTCGACCAGGCGTCGACTCGACACTTCGTAGGTGCCACGGTGGGATATCCTGTCCATTTCTGTCATGCAAATAGCGAATGAATGAGAGTGCCTTGCCGCCGGAGATGCTCTACATGTATTCGCTCGATGGCTATTATACTGAAGAAAATCAGCTCGATGAGCATGGACGGGTCTCATGGGCGGTCACGTTTGCATGGCTTCACGCAACTAGGAGACGCGCCATCTTTGTTCGAGCGGATGGCATGTTAGCAATGCTGCTAGGTAATGTGCTTCTCAACATTGCAAATAGCAATAGGGATTCTCGAAAACCTACTCCACTGGGCATTGTGCTTCTGGTACTAGTAGTGTATCCTGGCTTCGCTGCAGCAACGAAGTCTGCCTGGCCGCCTAGTAGTATACAAGAAGTGTGCGAGAGAATCCCAAAAGTACAGTATTGGACGGCCGCAATACATTGTGTGAACGGTAGTATGCGGTCACCCACAATGATATTTCACCTCAGCAAGATCCAAAACTACTAGCTGGTCGACAGCGCGTCCATGGCATCCACCAGCATCGACTCTGTTGCAGCTTCTGCTGCGTCGCGTCGGTGCTGCAAAGATGCGACGGACTTCTGGACGCTTGTCCACATGTCATTGGCGCCATCGACCGAGTAGATGCCGACGCAGCTGACACGAATGGTCTTGAGGACTGCCTTGCCCAGCTTGCGCCTAATTGTTTCACTGGTTTGTGGTTATCAAGTATCGGTTGCGTACTTGGAGAGGGCAAAGACGACCGGAATTTTGTTGGCGCGGGCCAAATCGATGAGCTCGACAATCTTGTCGTCGAGGCCGCCGTCCGCCGCGCACTCATCCACGTCGTACGCCACAAGCAAGCACATGACCTTGAGGCTCTTCAGTCCTCGCTTGACCTGACGACATGACCACGCCATGAGTCTCCCTCCCAAAAGACTCATCTGTACTACCTCGCGGAGCCCGAACACGAGGCGGCGCGTTTTCTTGGCCTTGAGAGGGTTTGTCAGCCGGGCACGCTCCTATCAAAATCATTTTTATAGTTGGTGCGTGGAGACAGTCACCTGCAACTGCATGAGACGCCCCAGGAGCGCCGTCACGCCGACTTGCAGCTCGCCGCACTCATCGATCTCCTACGCAGACGCATGGATTCAACATGCAGTGTATCGACCACGAACGGCACCTGGTCGACATACGCGCGGATCGCACTGGCATTTCGAAGCTTTCGAACCGGCGGCACGTCGACTGTCAGAGGCGAGCGAGTAGCGGGTGCGACCTGGCCGCCGGCCCACTCGACGCGAATCGGAGTGCCACCGTACGGCTTGGTGTCGTACTGCTGCGTGACCGCCATGGCCGCCGACGGCGATGCGTACTGAAGACGACACACGCCCGTGTTTCGGTCAATCTCGATGGCTTGCACTGGATGCAGCTTTGAAAATTCGGCATGTGCTTCGTCTCGGACTTCGTCAAACTCGTCGTCGTCCGCGAGGTCGGCAGGCTCCAAGTACTTGGCGACCGTGACCCACGACATGGCGTCCGTCGTTGCCGGTGTCGCGTACAGACAGAGTAGCTGACGTCCGCCAAATGTTGCCGTGTGCAAAGCAGCCACTGCAGCGTCGGCGCTGGCCGAATCGTTGTACGTGACGGTCACGGTGCCGGTCGACCGGTCAATGTCGATGGCTGCGACCGCACCATGCCGCTCCAGCTGCACACGCACGTCTGCCAACGTATCTTCGTACTCGTCGTCGTCTTCGATTTCGTCCACCGAGACCAAGTGATCGATGGTCACAGACCGCGCCGCTTCAGGGTTACCGTCGCCCGTTGGCAGCGCAGAAGATTCGCCGGCCTTGGCGCGGTGGTACGCTTCCCATTTGGCCGCGCGGTCGCGTAGAATCTTCTTCTTGAGCGTCGATTTCTTCTTCTTCTTGGTGCCGACGGGACGCGCCGCGTCGGTCGTCGTCGGGTCCTGATGCGTCGCACTGCCTGGAACAAACGTTTTTGCAGTGGCGCGCATAGCGGCCGACTTGGCCTCGGCAGCAGGAGTTGGTGGCAGCGTCTTTGCCCTGGCCTTCCTTGCAGGCTTGGCCACAAAGTCGAGGAGGCTGACCTGGCCGTTGGTGGGTCGTTTGGGCGGCTGCCGCGGCGGCTTGGACTTGGTCGCTGATTGTGGCGCCAATGGCATGGTCTTTGACGGCGCTGGTGGCAGCGCAAGAGACCGAGCGTCTGCAGCCGTCTCCCATCGGCGCGCTGTCGGTGGCGCGTCGGGCAGCGTGCCAGGTCGCCGCTGGATCTGCAGCATGCCAGGTTGCATCGTCGTTTGTCCGGATAGGAATTTGGTATCCGAATGATTTACCGTGAATGCAAGCCAATTCCTGAAATTGGCAAAGAATATCGTGGATGTTCTACTTTAACTAGCGGCGTAGGTAAAGTAGAACATCCACGATATTCTTTGACATTTGCAGCCGACAAGATTGCTATCATTATAAATAGATAATCATTCCTGCGTGCGCCTTTCATGCAAGCGCCAAGATGGCACATGTCGCCGCCTGCCCAAACTCTTTAGTAAACACGAACGAGTGCGTCGAACTACGAACTGCGCTCTGGTCGTGCTGCGGTCTCGGAGGCTACCACCACATTGCGCCGGCCGCCTTGTGGCTCGTCTTTCTAAGTCTCACGGTGTGTGCGCAGTACGAATTCAACCTCTTCCACGACCTCGACAGCACCGCCGACGAGCTCCACGATATTCAGACCCAAGGTATACACTGTCTCGTCTTGCGTCGAATACAACCTGCCGTAGCGCTCGGCGTCGTCGTCGCGCGTCGGAAGCGCGTCATCTTTGGCAAGATGTACCGCGACCCGCGACGGCTGCTCATGCTCGGGGCCATGTGGAGTGAACTCTTTGGCTTTAGCTACATGCCCGGCCAGCTCATCATCTACCAGCTCACGCAGTCGGACGTGTCGGGTCTCGTGTCGGGTCCAGTCCAGTTTGGCTTTTTTGCTGTCTTTTCCAGCTTGCTCTACCTCCTCGAGGGACCGCTGGGCGCGCGATGGCTGCGCAAGTGCCACCTCAGTCGACCGAAACTCGGCGGCCCGATCCTCTACGACATGTTCTT